AAAGATTCAAATAAATAACCTATCTTTCTACCTTATGACCTGAAAAGCAGAGCAAAATAAAACAAAATAAACAAAAAAAAAAAAACCCAAAATGAGCCTGAAGGAAGAAGATGGAAGGAAACAGTAACACTTAGAATGAATATTAATAAAACAGAATAGAAAAACAACAGAAAAAAAGACTGAATGGAACGAAATGCGGGTTCTTTGAAAAGATCAACAAAATTGACAAGCCTTTAGCTTGACTGATTGAAGAAAAAACAGAAAAAGATTCAAATTACTAGAACTGGAAACGAAAAAGGACATTACTACTAAGTTTACAGCAATTAAAAAGTCCTCTTTATAAAGTGATATACACAATTTTATGCTAATAAATTAGATAATGCAGTTGAAATACACAAATTCCTAGAAAACCACAAACTCCTGAGATGGACTCAAGAAGAAACAGGCAGCTCAATAAAATGTAAAGAAATGAATTAGACTATTCAGAGAGGAACGCCCACACCCAGGTACTTCACAGACAAATTCTACCGAACATTTAAGAAGAATTAATAATAATTCTTCAAGATCTCTTTCAAAAAATAGAGTAGAGAAAACATTTCCCAATTGAGTCTATGAAGCCGGTTTAATCATGATAGGAAACTAGACAGACATCACAAAAAAATAAAACTCCAGTCTGATATTTCTTTTTTTTTCGGACTTCTTTTTTTAAATTAATTTTTATTTTTATACAATTTTAAAGGTTACTTTTCATTTCAGTCCCATATTTCTTAAGAATAAGGACTCCGAAGTCTTTAACAAAATACCAGTAACACCGTGAAAGAATTACACACCATGTCCACGTGAAATTTATCACAGGAATGCAGAGTTGATTCAGCATCAGAAAATACACTAATGTAATATATCACATCCCCCCAGAAGTTTTTAATATGTTTGCATCAACAGATGTGGAAAAAGCATCAACAAAGTCCAACAAACTTTTACAATAAAAACATGCAACAAAGTAGAAATAGAAGGAAACTTCCTCAAATTGATAAAGGAGATTTTTTTTTAAAAATCCAGAAAGAAAAGCAGAGATGATTTTACTTTTTTCTTTCCAATCTGGATGATTGTATTCATATTTCTTATGCAATTGCCATAGCTAGAACTTCTGGCATGATGTTGAATCGATGTGATGAGAACAAACAAAGTTGTACGTTCCTGATCTTAGGGAGAAAGCATTCAGACTTTCATCATTGAATATAATGTGATCCGGATTTTTTTAATCTCCTTGATTTTGTCAATGCTTTTTCCACATCTGCTGATACAATTGTCATCCACTCTTTAGAACTCCAAAAGATGGTTAAAAGAATGTAAAAAATGCAAGAACACCCCATATGCATAGGTCGGAAGACAATGTTGTTAAGGTAGCAATACTCCTGAAATTAATCTTCAGATTCAATGTAATTCCTATCAGAAATCCCACTTGGCTTCTTTGTAGAAATTGATAAGCTGATTTTAAAATTCATGTGGAATTGCAGTGGTCCCAGAATGGCCAAAGATACTCTTGAAAAAGAACAGGACTGGAGAATTCACCCTTCTTGATTTTAAAACTTACTACAAAACAACAGTTATCAAGACAGTGTGGAACAGCATAAGAATGGACACATAGATCAATGGAATATAACTGAGTTCAGATATAAGCCCATTCCTATGGTCAACCGATTTTCAACAGGGATACCAAGGTCATTCAATGTGGGAATAAACAGTCTTGTCTATAAATGGTGCTGGGTTAAATAAATAGCCCATTGTGACAGAATCAAGTTGAAACCTTCACACCATATGCAAAAATTAACTCAGAATGGATCGAAGACCTAAGTGTTAAGTACTGAACTGTAAAATTCTCAGAAGATAACATATGTTGAAAACAGGCAATTCTATCTAGACGAAGTAGGTTAGTGGTTGCTTAGGGCTGGAAAGGGGAGACTGGGGAAACATAAGGGTGATAGCTGAAGGGTACAGGTGTTCTTCTGAAGATACAGAAAATGTTACAAAATTGATTTTGGTAATGGTTGTGCATACTGTGAATACGCTAAGAACCATCCAATTGCACACTTTAAATGGATTAATTGTATGGTACGTGAATTGATCCTCAATGAAGCAGCTTTGCTTTTAAAGCCAACACATAAACAAAGAGCATGTCAGGTAGGGCTGAGATTTAGGGAGAGACGGTGATGGAGAGAGACTGGTACTCCAGACACAGGGCACGGGGATGACTGGCTCTTACGAGGTTCCATCGAATGAGGCCCTATGTTTAATATATGTTGGCACCACACTCTCATAACATTCAATATGGGAAGATCTTTTCTCATTCCTTGTGACAGGTGTGGTAATCAGCTCCTCTGAGGAATTCATAGAAGTGAGAGAAAAGGAGAATTAAGAGTTCTCTTCCAATAATTAAAGATTATCCACAATGCTCATTATAATAAAAGCATAATTCTGATATATACTGTCAGCCCATCTGCTCCACTTCCTGCTTTCCCTCATTTTTCCCCTTTTTCCTTTTCCTTCTCCCTTCCTCCTTTGTAAACTCCTTCCCACTCTCTTTCTCTTTGTCCACTTCTCTCCTGTGACCTTTTGTCCCTTTCTTCTCTTCTGTTTCACTTATTTTCAGTATCAAAGAGAAGTGAAAATCGAAACAGGACACACACTCAGGTACCAGAAGCCAAAAGTCCTTAGTTAATTTAATTATATGTTTTTGTTTCTGTTTTATGGAAAAACAAAAAGGTAATTTGGTGACTCGAATGATCTAGACCATGTCTTGTCTGCTTGCTCACTATTTAAAATACATTCTTAGTTATCCAGAGTCACAATCCAGGGTTGCTGAACCTCAGAGCTAGTGACATTTTATGCTGGATGACTTCACATTGAAAGGAGCTGCCCTGTGCCTCCTAGGACGTTAAACCACATTCCTGACCTCTGTGCGCAGGACGCCGGGGCCACGTCCATTCTCAGCCTCAACAGTCAATGTCCAGATATTGTCAAATATCTCCTGAAGGCAAAATCAGCCCTTGTTGAGAACCACTGTAAACCAGGCTTGCAAGAAAAGCCCTTTTCTTGATTGGTTTACGTTGCTTCTTTGTTATGTCCTTTCTCTGCCCTAAGAAGTAGGCTTTGGAAAACATAAAGCTGCAAAAAGAGCCAGGAAGGTGCCGTATTTCTCACTTAATCCCTGTGACAGGGATCCAGTGACCTTCTGAACAGGAGTGGAAATTGTCATTTCAACATTTGACCATATTCGATATGTGATGATTATGTTCTATTATCTTTGGCTTCCTTCCTGAAAATTCAACAGGATAATATTTTTTTTGGCCATTGCTTCTCAGCAACCAACATATTTTTAACACATTAAGTAGCTTCTTGTTTGATTATAGAACTAGCTGGGATTCAACATTTGAAGGAACTGACACAATTCTGGGCAGAATCTAGCAAGAGTCAATTTTGCTTAGATTTGTTGACTATAAAAGCAGCAATGGTTTACCTAAAGATGATTTACAAAGGAGCTCATTGCCCTTTCTAGGACTTTATCCTTTTTCTGGTTGTCAGTGGTATTGGCTTTTCCACCCACTGAACTCCAATCATCAGGTCAATAAACACTTATCGTGTGCCTACTGTGTACAAAGCACGACATTAAGCACCAACATTTTCCAAAAAAAAGAAGAAAAGAAAGACAGATTCAGAACAAACACAAGACAGTAGGAAGATTTGAGGTCACACACCCCACCTGCCCTGGTCCAAAGATTGGAAGAGATCTCATTTGTCAGCTATCCCTCACAATTCACCACACTCTATTTGAGTCAAGTCTTTAAAACGACCCCTGAGCATCCAGTTTATCAAAGAAAACATTACCCCAAGGAAAGTATAGTCACTAAGGTATCCCATTTCACCCTTCAGATCGTTTTAATTGTTAGAAAGCTCTTCCGCGTATGAGTTCTGCCTGGAAAATGTTCAGCCTTTATTCATACTGGACCTCATAGCATAAGTCAGATCTTCATATAAGTAAGTTTAAACATACTGGAACACAACTGTAGTAACCCCACTCCAAATATATTTATAGGTTAAAATCTTGCCTGACCCCAACTGTTTGTCAATGACATGCCTTAGCGACTGACATGTCAGCTCTCATTCAAAGATCACGGTAAGTCTCTGAATGCTGAGTGTTTAAATTCGAATGCAAGGCCACATTTATTATTTGACAGCAAATAACTCTGTGTTCCTTGATACAACAAGGTAACAAAGCATCTTGCTGGGAGGGGGGGTCCACTTTCGTAAAGTTAGCACAGGAAACTCCTCACCCACAAAAAGAGTATAAATCAGAACTTACAGAGAGGCAAATCACAGGGTTTTCTGGGAGCCCCACAGCTCTTCAATAAGACTAAACCATCCCTGAGACAGGGGTGAAGTCCAGCCCATGCCATCGGCAGGCACTTCTGCCAGGGCTGGCTATCCCTGAGTGTAGCTGTCGAGCTGGGGAAGCAAAATCTGCCCTTTGGGTTTGGAGTAGGGAAAGATCAAATGAGGACTATTTCCAACATTTTTTTTTTTGTTTGGAATTAAAATGCACGGTTTTAGCCATATTTCAATTATCAGCTTGACATTACTCTTTAAGCAAATGACTGGAGTTAACAAGAGAGCTACTACATTTTGAATACATTGATTTTCTGCTTGGTGTAAACTCTAAATAGCCGATTAGAAAGCTGTGAATCAGATGGACTCAGTGTACCTAACACATCCAGCGATATAGTACAAACTGGAAACATTCGGATCTTTGAAGGTGAAGTGAATTAAAAGCCCATGATTGTTACAACTTCAATATATAAATAGGAACGACATACTAGCTCTTATCTGGCAATTTAAAAACTGGTCCACGTTTTGTTATGCATGTCAACCTAGTGCATAAAACTGCTGGGCTTAAAGGTATAGAGAAATACAGATTTATTTTTCAAAAATGACTGTGAAATGAAATGAATTCTTAATTGAACAGTTTCCAGGTGCAGAATGTGCTGAGGTTGCCTTCCAGTATTTTCCTAAGCTGCGGAATGTCTCTGCCGCTGTATCTCTCATTTCTATCTTGGTGTGACACTCGGGTTGTCCGCGTTTAGCCTGGGACCCCGTTTTATTGATCACAGGAATAGCTCATCAGCTTAAATAGTATTCTTTGAATTAAGGATTCGTTGTCTTTGCTTAGCTCTACTCCCGGCACTGACAGAGTGACCTTGGGGAAATGACTTCCCCCCTCAGCATCCGGAGTTTCTCTGTGAAATTATATTAATGAAATGATAGCACGTCCCATGCCATCGAGAAGGGTAAAAGGTGATTATGACAGCACAGGCTTGTTATTGCAATTATAATGTCAGGAAAAGAACCCTTGTAATGTTTCTCAGGCGCCCCCTCCTTACCCATCACTCACTATATATATTTCACTATATTTGGGTTCTGAAATTCCAACGTTATAATAGAACTGAGAAAGTGGAAGGAGACTTTATCTATTCGATGTGATTATTTAGCATATAAATTGCATTTATTGAGGCAAAGCACCTCCCAGTCATTTTTCTAAGCTGTTTTCCTCACACAAATCCAGGTATCGGATGGTCCTTGAGCTAAGAAAACTCAAGCACGGGCATTTTTAAGCCTAGCATGGTGAATAGCCAGATGCAAAGATGGAGGCAAGTCTACAAGGAATATTTGCACCTTCAGCTGGCTCAGAGGGAAAGGTGATGTCAGCTGTGGGTGGACTCTGCCTTTATCTTTACCTTTCCTGCGTCTTACCCAACTCCTGGAACACCTTCCACGGCTGGTCTGACTTAATAGCTTCGCACCACCATCTCATTTCCAAAAGAGCCAAAGGAGTGCTGTCTCCCAACCAGTTCTCCCAGGCAGGGCCAGGAGCTTCTAATGTACTACCCTCTCTCCATTCTGCAATACAACTCAGGACTTTGGTCCTAGGAATCCAAAATCATGTTGAGGGTTTAATATTTAACACAAAACAAAACAGTGATACACTGTCCTTCTCATGGGGCACTTGCAAAAGATATATTTGAAATAGATCAACAACTTCTAAATCCGATTTCAAAATCTAGGGGCAAGAATGGAGCACCAGCTAATTTCTGTTCATTTAAAATCATTCTCCATGTGCTTTCCTGAGTTGAGCCTCATGTGTGAGATCAGCTATCATATTGCATCATTGGAAAAGTCAGATGGATGCTCAGTCAAGTTCACTTGGCTTGGCTTCACTTCAGGAGTTGGCCGTGCGTGGCTCAGTTGCGTTGTTCAAATTGTCTTTTGTTTCAAAGACATTTAGAGAGAGTTTAGAGAACAGAACAATGACCAAATGAAGGGAAATATTTTTTAGGGGGGGGATCATAGAATCAAACTCCTCAGTCTGTAAAAACCAAAGCTAGATCGACTCAGAGTCTACAAGTCTATAAAATTGAAAAGAATAGAGAGAGGATTGAGATGGACTTCTTCATCAAATTCCAGAACAAAGGGCCCCCTTTGAAGCTTGAAAAAGATGGATTTAGGATAAATGGAGAGAACTATTTTTTTAACACAGTGGGGGATAAATTTATGGAACTCATTATCCCAACTTTTGCTATTCATTAAAAGTATAAATGGATCCAGACAAAGATTCATTTCTGAAAGAAGATCAGTGATGGGTTACTAAGGAAGGTTCAGGTTGAGTTTAATGGTTGGGTGTCTTTGCATTATTGTCATCCATACTTGATTTTAAATTCTAGCACAGCCCTTGCTGGAAAGATGACTTGCAAAACCCCAGTTTGCACTGTGTCATAGAGATAATAATGGTACTTACACTATAGGGTTTTTGGAATGGTTACATGAGATGATCTTGATGATGATGATAAAGCAGATGAAGGGGTTGAAGGAGACGAAGATGAAGACAAGAAAGAAAAGGAACACAAAGAAGATGATGACAACAATGAAGAAGAAGAAAAAGAAGAAGAAGGATGGAGTCTTTCCAGTCTACCATTTCAGCTGAATTTTAAACAGGATACTTCTGACATTTGCAGGGCAGTCTACTCAACAATGAATTACACTCTTCCGAATGCTAATGGGGCCCCATTTGAGAAAGACTGATTTAGACTAGAGATCTGATTGAAGAAAACTATTCTATACACAATCCTCTTAATTGTAGGTTACTGGGATATATTGGAATACATAAAAAAACAAATGCTTGTACATATGCACAGACACATGTGGACACACACACACACACACACACACACACTTCAACTCTTCGTCCACTGAGTCTCAATTTAGTAAGAAATTAAGTGTATAGATTGGTAAGTTAATTCGGCTAGGATACTCAGCTGAACTGATTGATTTTGTTTATAAATACAGGCTATCTTTCAGCATATACTAAAATCTGAGATATTTTCCTCTTTGGGTTGTGTTTTTACCCTCCTCCTGAAAAGCCAGAAAGCAATGAGTGGGAATAAGGCAATTCCATATCAAACACTGGAAAACCCATCTATGTGTACACTCAACTTACCTCTGTGCTCTCATGTTCACTGCAGCATTATTCTCAGTAGCCATAATATGGAAACAAGATAGGTATCTGTCAGTGGTGAATGGATAAAGAAGATGTGAGACATGAAATAAGCAGCTCTGAGAAAGAAGGAGGTCTGGCCATTTACAACAGCTTGGATGGGACTTGAGGGCATTATGCTAAGTGAAATAAGTCAGACACAGGAAAAAAAAATACTGTGTGATATCATTATATAGAACCTAAAAAGGCTAAAATCAGAGGGAGAATAGAATGATAGTTACCAGAGAATGTGGGATGGGGGAGATGGAGACCTATTGGTCAAATGATACATCTTGTTAGTTCTAAGGTTTGAGATTTGCAGATATTAATATATATGAAATAGATAAACAGCAAGTGTATACTGTATAGCACAGGGAACTATATTCAATATCTTGTAATAACTTGTGGTAAAAAAGATTATGAAAATGAATATTTGTATGTTCCTATATGACTGAAGCATTGCGCTGTACACCAGAAATTGACACAACATTGTAAACTGACTATACTTCAATAAAAATATATTAAAAAAAGAACACAAAAATAAAAGCTAATCAGAGAGATCTTAAAAAAATTTCGCCTCTTTAAAAAACAAAAATTATGGGGATCGAGTTGATGACATGATGATCTTAGCTGATAATACTATGCCATATACTTGAATGTTACTAAGGTAATAGTTCTTAAATGTTCTCAACACAGAAAAATAAGTGTAATTTGAGGATGTAATGGAAGTGTTAGCTATGGTGATAATCACTTTGCAATATATAAATGTATCAAATCAAGACATTGTACAGCTTAAACTCACACAACGCTATATATCAGTTACATCTTAATGAAGTTGGAACAAAAAGGAATTTTGGCCAAGCATTTTTCTTCAGCCTCTTCAGCCCGTCTTAAGAATGGTCTGAAGTGAAATATACTATCTGTGAAGGTTCATAGCTGATCATGTGTTGCTAGCCATGCTTGAAACAGCTTTGCTTTTTCTCTTTTTTGATTTTATAGATTCTTATTGTTTTTTTCTCTTCACCAAATTGCTTTTTGTTCTTCTAAAAATATATTTCTTTTCTCTTTTACCCATGGTAAAATCAACGATACCGCCACAATTCTTTCCTAACATTCATTAAAAAGGACTCCCATGGAAGGACCACTGCTACACACACATACCCCCCCCACACCCACACACGTATCTTCTCTGTCCTCCTCCTCAACACACATCTGACCCATATTGTGGCACCTTCACACTTCCAGCAGAGGTCCTGACACTCTATCTACCTAGCTCTTATCTGCCCTACACAGGTGGAGGTAAAGGGGTCTGGGGGCAGCAGAGAGAATATTTGTTGCTGTTCAAAGCAAGCTGTCTTTTTTTTTTTTCTTTCTCCCTCTCTTTTTTTCTCCTTCCAAGATAAATAGAAGTAGAAAGGACAAGCAGTTTTGATTAGCATTTAAAATGTTGTCAATTTTTAATGAAAGCGTAACCTCCAACCATCAACTTCGCACAAACTGGAGACAAGGTTGCAAAATGAATGCTAATATATTTGGCACAGTTTCTCACACTTGTCCTTCCGTGAACTTTTCTTGTTGCTAATTTGTTATGTCAGCCCATATTAGTAGGTTTCAAAAGTCCAAACTGGCAAGTGTGGTGACCCAGAGAGAACCAGTCTATGGAAGATCTTTAAATCGAAGTGCAGGAGTCGGCTGGTTTATTAGCTGTGTACCTGTAGTCCTGTCCATGTGCCCATACTCCTTTGGAGGAGTTGCCAAATCTCAGGCGTCATCTACAGAGTCTTTCAAAATTTGTTTCTGAATGTGACATTTTG